GAAATATATCTTTTCCAACACAATATAAACTTTCTTGTAATATAAGATCTAATATACAATCAACCATTTGTTATTATTATTATTATAATTATTGTTATTATTATTATTATTATTATCATCATCATAATTATTATTGTATGTATTTTAAACGTGTCATTAGAATATACTCGTCGTATTGGTCTTATTGTAACATTATTTTTAATAATATTACTTTTCCTTTTTTTGTATTTACCTCCGATAACATAAATATATTTTATAATAATAATATATATATATATTTTTTTTTCTTCTAATTAAAAAAAAAAATATATATATATATATTGAGAGAACTAGTCATGATTACTGAATAACTTGCTTAGATCTATATTAATAGATTTAAAGCATGATACACAATAAACCATGATTATTATCATGATTATATTTTAGTTAGATCTTAACGAGACGAAAGGAAACGAGATGATAGGAATAAGGGATTGGTGGAGTGAGAAGAGCATGTATTTGGCGTTACGTAACGCAAGCACGAAGTAGGCGAACTACGTTAGAAGACAGTCACGTGCCGTTCATGGCACGGGATGGCTTTACAACTGGCACTAACGAGAAGGCAGCCTTTGCAAAGCGGCCACTAACGAGATGGTCTGCCTTCGGATGCGGCGCCGTTGACGACGACGAGATTGGGGATCGAAAGAAAGAGTAAGAGAAAAAGAGAGTAAAAGAGAGACAGAGAAAGAAAGAGAGTGAGAGAGAGGCAGAGAAAGAGAGTAAAAGAGAGACAGAGAAAGAGAGAGACAGAGAGAAAGAGAGAGAGAGAGAGAGAGACAAAAAGAGAAAAAATAAGAGAGAGAGAGAGAGAGAGAGAGAGAGAGAAAGATGAAAAGAGAAAGAAAAAGAATACAAAATAGATAGATAGATAGAGAGAGAGAGAGAGAGAGAGAGACCGGCTTTCTTTCACGGCATCTTTCGATTCTACTCTAAACGAGATTCGTACGTAGGACGGGCATCAGGAAAATGTCAATCGAGATCGAACGATATCAAAGTACTCCTTTATTACCTTCGATTACTCTTTTACTTCGTCCTTATCGATTCGATATAGTGCATCTAATTTTTTCTCTCTTCTTTCTTCTCTCTCTCTCTCTCTCTCTTTCTTTCTCTCTCTTGTTCTCTTTCTGTAATATTATCTTTTAGCAATTTTCTCTGCGTTATATATTTCACAAGATCGATGGAATCGTCGAGATTACCTTTTTCTTTCCTGCTTTCTTTCTTTCTTTTTTTTTCCCTTTTTTTTTATTTTTTTTTTTTTTATATATATATATATGTATATACATACATATATTTTTTTTATATATTTATCAGACAACCGTAATCGTGGGATTTCCATCAAATATTATACAATTACCGATTTTACATTTTAATATTAATATCATGCTTTTCAATCGGCACCTTTTGCATTTTTAACGAAGCTTTTATTGATCATCAGATACGTATTTATTGTACATACGTCTATTAAAAATTAACGTCTCTATAAAATTTGTAGTTATAATGCATTTAAATCGAATAACCTCTCCTTATAGATTTTGATTGATATTTATTGTATAATTGCTTTATTCTTTGGGATTAACTTTTTTTTCTTTTTTTCTTTTATATATATATATGAACCAATTGAGTAGCTTATGATTTCTCTCTAATGCAATTATTCGATCGTTATAATTTTATTTTAAGATTAACATTGTACATGGACACAATTGCATTCGCGATGCAATTTAATTGTCATTAGAGCATGTACACAGGCATGTCTTAAAATTATTTTTACTTTTTTTCTTTTCTACATATTAATGGATTCGTATTAATGATGATTATTAAAGTTGAAGAATTTTTGCGCATGTAATAATATTAATGATTATCGCTTATTTAAAACTCGTATGATTTGAATTTAGAAAAAAAAAAAGAAAAAAAAAAAGAAAAAAAAAAGAAAAAAAAGGAAGAAAAAGAAGTGGAAGAGAAAACAGAAATAAAAAAAAAAAAGAAAAAAAAGAAAAAAAAGAGAAAAAAAAGAGAAAAAAAAATTGGAACAGATATGGTCGTGACGTAAGTTGTACGGCAACAACGTGCCTTCGACATTTTCGATATTTTTGCAGTACTGATTTCCATTTATGGATCTTTGCCTTTAATTATGAATCCATCTATTCTAATAGAACAGAATTAGTCTTTTTATGTCAAGACCGATTTGATCGTACACGTGACTCAAAAGTTTAAATTTTGTACGAGATCGTTTCTGTAATCGTAAACTGTCTACTCCATTCTCCTTCTCCCTTTTTATCTGATATTTCTGTTTGCAAAATACGTGATCATGAATTTAAATGACAAATACACTTCTAATTAGTTATATTCCTTTTTGTCGTCTCTATGTTTTCCTTTTTTTTTTCTTTTTTCTTTTTTTTTTTTCTTTTCTTTATTAATTTTTTCTATTTATATTATTTATAGAAAGTATTCGTTGAAATAATTTTTGTTTATTTGTTTATCGAATTTAACAATAATAACAATATAATATGATTTTATTTATTTATTATGTCTCGTACGTATCTCGAGAAAAAAAAGAAGAAGATAATACAAATATTTACGCTTAATAATTAATTATTAATTAATCATAAATTTCTTAATATATAAAAGAGAGATGAAAGAGAGAGAGAGAGAGAGAGAGAGAGAGAGAGAAACATAGATATCAATATATTTTATTTTATTTTCAACGTGTATAATATTTTTATTAATTGACACTTATTTTCATAAGCTTATATTTATTATGACATATTAATTGGATGCTAATTTTCATTAACGATAATTTAACATTAATTTTTGTAAAAATGAATTTTCTCCAATTTCAATAATAATTTTCTCTCATAGTTCTTAACTTCAAATAATACTCATAATTCCATATGAACGAGAACAAGATGATACAAATTGACAATTTGTGTTGAATATTGAAACTCGTTAAAAAAAAAGAAAAGAAAAAGAAGAAAAAAAAAAAAAGAAAAAAAAAAGAGAGAAAAAAAAAACAAAAAAAAGAAAAAGGAAGAAAAAGATTACAAGGATATTTATATAATTTATTATTATATTATACGTATGTATAAAAGTTCCTTATATATACATTAGGCTTACAGTCCTCGTGAGTCATTCACACAATTCCGAGATACACGTGACGAACGTCATCGATGACCTGCCACGACTGTGCAAAAACGTCAGCTTATTACGAAGCGAACGTTGCGTAAGTCGAGATTACAAGCGATTCGCTGCGATCGAATCGTCATATTTTTTTAATGAGACAAGCAATATAACATATGTTATATACTATACATGCGTATACCAGATCATCTCATTTTAAATGGTAGAACCAAATATGCCCGATTTAATTCCTTTTATAAAGAAACGTTTCGAATGACAATTGTTAGAAGAACTTTCGGGAGAAAATTTAAATATCTATTGCAGCCATTTAAGTGAGAGCACTATACTGTAAATATACGAGAGTTATAATAATTTCTTTTCTTTTTTTCTTTTTTTTTTTTTTTTTTTTTTTTTTTACGGAAATCGATACTTTAAGCCCAACAACAATTGTAGAGAATCTAATTAATATCTAATATTAGATGTATAGTGTATATATATATATATATATATATATATAGATATATATATTAGAAATTAGAAATTGAAAATAATAAAAAGAAAAAGAAAAAAAAAGAAGACTTCTTTATGATAACATATAAATCTCAATGGAATATTTTTTTCCTTATCTAAATGGAATTTGACCCTAAGAAAAGATTGATGATGATGAAGATGATGATGATGATGATGATGATGATGATGATGATGATGATGATGATGAAGTCTAATAAACTAATAGAAAATAAGGAGGAGGGGTAGAACGCACGCACCGTTGCATAATCTCACTTATCGCACTTGTAATCGTAGTACAAATACTCGACCATCCTGATATCAATTGGAATGGCCTATTATCGAGTTATTTCAATAACAACGTGTTTCTAGGAGTTGCGCACGTGCCTGATAAAACTGATATATGTCTGTATCAAAAAAAAAAAAAAAAAAAAAAGAAAAACAAGAAGAAGAAGAAAACTAGTCCGATTACCTTCAACATCAGGCACGTCCGCCACATTTTGACTCGTACTAACGCTTAGTTCTTAATTTTTTTTATAATTTTCATAGTTTTTAAAATATTTCAAGATTACTATAAATGCTTAAAATATATATATATATATATATATATATATATATTTTTTTTTTGGTATCCTAACTATATAAATAATAATTGCATCCCTAATCCAAAACTATTCATCTTACTCTATATCTATCTCGTTCTTTAGAAGAGAGAACGTAAGAAAGAAAACAATAATATGAAATTTCTATTTCATTATTTTACATATTTAAACAAAAAACAAAGAAAAAAAGTCCAAAATTTGCCCTCATTCTCTTCTTCTCCTTTATTTATTTTCTTCCTTTGTATTGCAGTTTGTTCACCGAAGCTGCTACCAAGCGAAATAATACCTTTATAAAAAAAAAAAAAAAAAAAGAAAAAAAAAAAAACAGAAAAATAAAAAAGAAAAAATAAAAATATCGTTTATCCATTCTAAAACTTAATAATAATAAATATAACAGATAATATGTACTATCGATTATATAAAAAGCTTTCAGGTCAAAACGATCCAATTTCTTTTCGGGTCAAAAGTTACGGTCACATTTTCTTTAATTTGTTTGGTTAGCTTAGAAATCGATCTACCTGAAATCGGATTGACAATATATATATATATATATCTACGTATAGTATATAATATATATATATGAAAAGGATAGAAAGATAGAGAGATAGAAAGAAAGATAGATAAATGGATAGATAGATAGTGTGAGAGAAGGAGGGAGAGAGGGAGAGAGAGAGAGAGAGAAAGAGAGAGATAACGTATTTCATCATTGTTTTAATTTCCGTCGCGATGATTCTTGTGTTATGCAACGACGATGAGTTTTCAGCACGGCACAATAAAGTCTAAAGTTCATTGGTACATTACAATCATTCGTATAAACTGAACGACGTTCGATGACCCTCTTATGTCAAAGGTAAAACACATAACGACTATTATTGTATAATTATAAAAGTATCAAATATATTATTTAAATTGATAATCAATAATATTTATTTTTCTGTTTGCTCTCTTGAGAATATTGGGGTGAAGGGTATAGGGCGAGTCGAGGCAAAGGGTAAAGAGAAAAGGTGGAAGGGTAGGAGTTTTAAATTATAATAAAAATTTTTTATAATTTAACAAATAATTATAATAAAAAATACATATATATATATATATATATATATATATATATATATAAATGTATATATGCTATTAATAGTGATGATAAATAGTGTTTGTGTGAAATATAGATAAGGTAAAATATAATAAGTTACATTCAATATGTCGATTGTTGATACCCACAAATCACGATGAAGAAATATTAAAAATACAAAACAGATATATATATATATATATCGATAAAAATATTATTCGTTAATATGTAACGTTAGTTTATTCATTGATGTAAAACGCATAACGGATATCCATGTGTCGTAAAGAAACACCGAGCATATTCATGTCCGATATATATAAATACATACGTATAATTCAATCTAATGATTAAATTGTGACCCCAGTAGCGCCATCTCTTACGAGTCCATCGAATTGCAAGACTCGTCATCGATGTATCAATAAATAAAAATGTAGAAAAGAAAAAAGAAAGTAAGAAAGAAAGAAAGAACGGATGACAGGAGTAGGACCACATTTAAATTATTTCTTCTTGTTTAGTAAATTAAAAGAAAGAAAAAGAAAAAAAAAAGAAAAAAAAAACGATTACCAAATTAATTCGTCGATTAATCAAATCGTTCAATTGTCCTAAAAAAAATTCGAGCCAATTGTCAAATTCTCGGACAGAGCGAGGGTGGTCGAGAGAAAGAGAAGGATAAAAAAAAAACTAACGAACGAACGAACGAGCCAACAAAAAAAAAAAGAAGAAGAAGAAAAGAAAAGAGAAAAGAAAAGAAAAGAAAAGAAAAGAAACATTTTCTTCGTCGAAGAAACAAAGAAACAAGAGCGATCGAAAGGTAATAAAGCCGACATATCTTTTCACGCGATCTTGCTTATTTAAAATCGACGATTAAAAAAGATCTTAGCCAATGAGAAAAGAAGAGAAAAAAGAACCGAGAAGAAAAAAAAAAAGAAAAAAAAAAAACAGAAAAGGGAACAGGAAATCGTTAAGACGGTAATTAATAATCGTCGTCGTCGATATTGCATCGTCGGTATTGTAAACAATTAAAACCATTGGTGTTGGGGAAAGGGGGAGGAAAGGGGATGCGAGATTTAGTTCATAAGATGCGATACGATCGCAACACATTTATTTTTTTCTTTTTTCTTTCATTTTTTTTTCTTTTTTCCCCGAAGAGAGCTCATCGGCCTATCGCCGTCGATTTTTATCTTGCTTGACGTGTCTGCGCGCGCGTCTGTGTGTGTGTGTGTGTGTATTAAAATGCGTATGTGTATATGCGCGCGTACGTGCGATCAGAAGGTTAGGAGAGTTGGATAGTATGAAGTAGGGGGTGGTCGGAGGGGTAGGGGCTGTTACTGAGGTAGGGGGAGGAGTGGGGGTGGGGTAAGGGGGGAACAATCGAGACCCGGGCAATGTTTAATCTTGCATCATGCGCGATGACCTTGCGTCGTCGGCGGAGGCCGTCGAACTTGTCTCCTTGAGGCGTTCAAGGTCGAGACGTATGCAACACGAGAGAAAGAGAGAGAGAGAGAGAGAGAGAGAGAAAGAGAGAGAGAGAGAGAGAAATGAAACGAAACTGAACTGAATGGAACGCGAAATGTTCAGCGTGCTTAACGACGATGAACGATGACACACAAATTTTCATCACAGAGAAGATAAGTGCCTGATACGTGTGGGTCTTTTTCTATGCGTGGCGCTACTTATTCGTTAGTTTTTATTTCTGCCTGAAACACTAATCCTTTTTTCCTTTTTTTCTTTTTTTCTTTCTTTCTTTTTTTATTCCCTTCCTATCTCTTTTCCTTTCTTGCTTTCCTTTCTTTCTTTCTATCCTTCTTTCTTTCATCACATCCTTCCCTTTCTCTTATTCTTTTTTTCCCTTTCTTTCTTGTTTTACCCTTTTTACCCATTTTTAAGTTGTTCTGTTGCATTTATTTTCATTTATTTTCATTTATTTTTATTTATTTCCCTTGTATTTTCTACATCGATTATTAAAGGTGACAAAGAAACCTCTTCTTGGTTCTAATTAAACAACCTTCTTGAGCCATTTTTATGGCTTATCGATCGTCCTCACTGTCTTTCACGATGATGTGCGATGAACATAGGTATGTGTGTATACATTTTCTTGTCCCTCTCTTTCTCTCTCTCTCTCTGTCTCACTCTCACTCTCTTTCTCTCACTCTCTCTCTCTCTCTTTCTCTCTCTTTAATTATCTCACTGTCATAATGTTCGAGTCGCAATTTTCTGATAAAATATTATTCATTCGATAAGACCTTAGAAACATATAAGAATTCAACCTCGAAAAGATATAATTTAACGTGCGTTTGTGTGCGCGATACTCGCGAAGAGAAATATTGGAAAGGTCACTTTTTACTTCTTATTTCTTTTTTTCTTTTTCTTCTTCTTTTTTCTTCTTTTTTTTGTTTTTTTTTTTACTTATTTTCTCTTCTTTCTGTTTCTTTCCTCCTCCTCCTCCTCCTCCTTCTTCTTCTTCTTCTTCTTCTTTTTCTTTTTTTGTTTTCTCTTTTTTTTTTTTCTTTTTTTTTTCTTCCTCTTCATAATGTTTATCACGTAATCGTCGTTTCTGTAGAAATTTCCGACGAAAGTTTAACCTCGCGCAATTTTTTCGTTCCTTTTTTTCCTTTGATTCTTTATCTCGTCTAGCGATAACGTCATACAAAAACGTTACGCGTTTTGTGATAGCTATACCACCTACGATTTCAGGGAATTACTTCGAGATATCGATGATTTGATTTCACAATGTTGTAAGAACAACAACAAATTCGTTATCGTGGGAATCCACGATTGAGATTTTCGAGTTAGATTCTTACCTTTTTTTTTTTTTCTTTTTTTTTTCTTTTCTCTTTCCTCCTTTCCTTTTTCTTCTTCCCTTTTTATCGATTTCATTAATTTCTTACTCGTCGATTCTTTTATTTCTCTTGTCTTCTTTTTTTGTTTTCTTTTTGTTTTCATTTCTGATTCTTTCGGAAGGTATAAAAAGTGATCGTGAAAAATACGACGAGCTTTGCGAAAATCTGTGCAAACTATGTCACATAATTATCTTCCAAGTAAATACCAATATAATTTTACGAGACACGCGATTTAACAAATGTCGTCATTTGTCGGCAGATTTGGAAAAGTTTTCTTTTCTCTTTTTTTATTTTTTCTTCATTTTCATTTTCTTTTTTCTTTTCCTTTTTTTTTTTTTTTTTTTTTTTTTAATATCCGCCATACTGAGGAATGTGATAAAAATACAAGTTGATAGTTGAGTAATAAAAATCGTAAAGCTATTGGTAACATCATATCTATTTATATTATAAAAAAAAAACGAAAGACTCTCTTCTATAGGAAGGTGTAAAAAATTTTATTTCAATTTATATATTACGTTTTATTTATTTTATATATATATATATATATATATATATATATATATATTATATAAAAAAAAAATTAATTGAAAAAGTATATATAAATCAAACGTTCTATTAAGGAGATATACGTAAATAATTTTATTTACGTTTCAATCTAGTTATCATATTTAATTAATAATTTTACATTATATTATATACAAATATATAAAATTGTTTCTCTTCTTTTTCTTTTTCCTTTTTTGCTTTTTCTTTATTTAATCAATATGTTATCGTCTTTGAGGTAAGTATCATTGAAAAAAAAAAAAAAAAAAAAAGAAAAAATTGATTGCTGATCGTTAAGAATTAAAGACGATTTTTGTTGCTTTTACGACGAGATATAAAAGAAAACGAAACAAAAAAGAAAAAAAAAAAAAAAACGAAAAAAAAGAAGAAAAAAGAAAAAATAAAAGACAGAATGAAAAAGAGTAGGTGGTATAATAGTCACGTCAGAATGAATAAATAAATTTATCTTGGCCGATCTAAGTTCGGACGTGACTAAAATCCAGTTCGACCGCCTCTTGCGCCAGATTTTCTCATATCTCACTTTGATTCCATTCTACTTTATGATTATTATGTATTATCATAATCGTTTTAATATTGTCAGCTTTAAATAATAACTATATAATAACTATAGCATACGTTTAATTTTCTAGTTTTATTCATTATACATGACTGTGAAATTCAAATGTATCTCTTGTTTTTTCTTTTTCATTTCTTTTTTTTTTTGTTTTTTAATAATTTTACAATTTGTTACACATCCTAAACATTTCTAATTAAAAGTCAAAAAAGTTTCCAATCAATCGAATTTCAATAATAATTCGACTCAATTATTTCCTTAATTTTTATTATTTAAATATTCATTCAACAAAATGGACGTCATTTTTAAAAATCTTCGAGCTATCTCTCTCACTCTCTCTCTCTCTCTCTCTCTTTCTCTCTCTTTTCTTTTCTCTTTCTCGTTCGGAGTTCGAATTTTTAGAAAATATTTTTCAACGATAATAGATAAGTTATATGATAAAATTTTGTTAAATTTTCTTCGTAGAAATTTCACGTTATAAATCAAATCCAATATGGCGTCCATACTTTATAAATACTATTAAAGAACGTTATAACTTATAATTCGTGTTGAACTTCAAATTGAAAAAAGAAAAAAAAAATATCACATGTCGATATAAAAAATACATTATACCGAACGTTATATGTTCTTCGTAATGATGATTGATGTTGTGTACTAATAAAACTTACTTACTTACTTATTTGTTTACTTATTTATTTACACATTATACACGTAAGTGCGTCAAATTTTAGATCGAATTTTTATCAAGTATACATAATGCATTTTAATTATATACAAAAATATCATTTCGTTCGTGGCACTTGAATGTTTGAGAAAAAGAAAAA